TTTGAGATGGAGTCTTGCTCTGTGGCCCAGGCTGGAGTGCAGTGGTGCAATCTCAGCTCACTGCAACCTCCACCTCCCAGGTTCAAGCAATTCTCTTGCCTCAGCCTCCCCAGTAGCTGAGACTACAGGCACGCGCCACCATGCCCGGCTCATTTTTTTGTGTATTTAGTAGAGACAGGGTTTCACCATGTTGGCCAGGCTGGTCTCGAATTCCTGACCTCAAATGATCTGCCTCCCTCGGCCTCCCAAAGTGCTGGGATTACAGGCATGAGCCACCGGGCCAGGCCCATAACTGTATTTTAATACAGCTAGTGTATGGGTTTAATATGGTATTTTATTATGGTCTTAATTTGCATTTCCCTAGAGACTAACCATGCTGAGTATTCTTTCATGTGTTTATTAACCATTCATATATTTTTAGTGAAATGTCTATTCAAATCTTTTGCCCATTTTTAAGTTGGCTTATTTGTCTTCTTTTTTTGCATATATTTTTGATATAAGTCCTTTATCAGATATATGATTTGGAAATATTTTCTACCAATCTATGGTTTGTTTTTCTTAATGGTGTCTTTTGAAGAGCAAAAGGTTTGAATTTTGAAGTACATTTTATCGATTTTTTTCTTCTATATATTGTGCTTTTGGTATCATGTCTAATAAATCTTTACTAAACCCACAGTTACAAATATTTTCTCCTGTCTTCTTTTTATACTTTTTACAGTTTTACAGTTTTAGCTCTAACAATAAATGTCATTTTGAACACACATAAGTCTATTTGTAACCAATACAAATAAATTGAATTTTTGGACACTTGTATTTGCATTTTTAATTTTATTATCTATTGCCAAATTTCACTTTATAGCAGTTGTAAACACAACACACATACACACAAGTATATATATATGACACAAGTGTGTGTGTGTGTGTATATATATACACACAGATATGACAGGGTCTTGCTCTGTTGCTCAGGCTGGAGTGCAGTGGCATGACATTGGCTCACTGCAATCTCGACTGCCCAGGCTCAAGCAATTCTCCTACTTCAGCCTCCTGAGTAGCTGAGATTTCAGGCGTGTGCCACTATATCCAGCTAATTGTTTAATTTTTTTTATATAGAGACAGGGTCTCACTATGTTGCTCAAGCCAGTCTCAAACTCTTGGGGTCAAGTGATCCTCCCACCTCATCCTCCCAAAGTGCTGGGATTACAGGTGTGAGCTACTGTGCCCAGCCAGGTTGTACCAATATATACTACCAATAACAATAAACAAAAGTGCCTGTTATTCCACACATGTTCCAACAGTGTATTATTAACCTTTTGAATCATGCCAACTGGAACCTCTCACTATAATTTTAGTTTACATTTTTCTTATTAAAAATTGGAGGCTGGGTGTGGTGGCTCACACCTGTAATCCCAGCACTTTGGGAGGCCAAGGCGGGCGGGTCACCTGAGGCCAGTAGTTCGAGACCAGCCTAGCCAACGTGGCGAAACCCTGTCTCTACTAAAAATACAAAAAATAAGCTGGGTGTGGTGGTGGGTACCTGTAATCCCAGCTACTCAGGAGGCTGAGGCAGGAGAATTGTTTGAACCTGGGAGGTGGAGGCTGCAGTGAGCCAGGATTGCACCATTTGCACTCTAGCCTGGGCAACAAGAGTGAAACCCCGCCTCAAAAAAAAAAACTGGAGTAAACCACTTGTTTTTCCTTCTCATGATATGTAAGTTCACATCTTTGGTCTTTTTCTTACTGACTTACACTAACCCCTTACATATTTGGGAAACTAGGTCTTTTGTGATATTAGTTGCAAGTCTTTTTCCAACTTTATGTGTTTGTTAACTTTGCTTATGGTTAGTTTTTCATGCACACTTTATAAATATTTGCATGTAGTAGAATTCACTGGTCTCTTATGACCTCTAGGTTATGTTTCATATTTAGAAAGTCTTCCTCCTTTTTAAAATTATCCTTTTTTAAAAGTTCCCCCATGAATTCCTCTAGCATTTTTACGGTTTTATTTTATGCATTTACATCTTTGACCCATCTTGAATTGATGTTAGCATCAGATCTAATGTAGTAACCAACTTTAAATACAGATAGTTACCCAGTTATTCCAAAAATATTATTGAATGATTCATCTTGTGACCATTAATTTTAAATGCTGTTACAACCCAACTTACCAGATTATAAGCTCCAAGAAGGAAAAGACTTATATTTTTTCACTACGGTATCTTTAGGAACTGTAACAGTGGTAGGCACATTAAGATTGCCCAGGGCTTTTTGTGTGTGTGTGGTAAAACATATATAACCTAAAATTTACCATTTTAATCTTTTTCTTTTTCTTTTTCTTTTTCTTTCTTTTTTTTTTTTTTTTTTTTTTTTTTTTGAGACAGAGTCTCACTCTGTCATCCAGGCACTCTAGTGCAGTGGCACAATCTCGGCTCACTGCAACCTCTGCCTCCCGAGTTCAAGTGATTCTCCTGCCTCAGCCTCCCAAGTAGCTGAGATTACAGGCGCACATCAACACACTCAGCTAATTTTTGTATTTTTAGTAGAGACAGGGTTTCACTATGTTGGCCAGGCTGGTCTCGAACTCCTGACTTCAAGTGATCTGCCCACCTCGACTTCCTACAGTGCTGGAATTACAGGCATGAGCCACTGCACCCAACCCCATTTTAACTATTTTTAAATGTACCATTCAATGGTATTAAATATATCCACAATGTGTAGCCATCATCACTACCCATTTCAGAACTTTTTCATCATCCTAAACAGAAACTTGGTACCCATTAGAAAATAACTCACATTCCCCTCTCACTCCAATCCCTGGTGACCTCTATTATACTTTCTCTCTCAAGGAATGTGCCTATTCTGGGTACCACATATAAATTGAATCAAACAGTATTTAGTCCTTTCTGTCTGGCCCATTTCACTTAGCATAACGTTTTCAAGGTTCATCAGTGTTTCAGCATGTATCAGAACTTCATTCTTTTTCAAGGCTGAATAAGTCATCTGTAGCTATATATCATATTTTGTTTATGCATTCGTCTGTTGATGGACATTCTGGGTTGTTTCCACCTTTTGGTTATTATGAATAATGCTACTGTAAACATAGGTATACAAGTATCTAAGTTCCTGCTTTCAGTTATTTTGAACATCTATGTCAAAGCGGAATTGCTTGATCACATGGTTATACTATGTTTAACTTTTTGAGGAATCATCAAACTGTTTTTCCAAAAAGTCTGGACTATTTAACGTTGCCATGAGCAATGCATAG